TCAAAAAAATAAAAAGAAAACATACATGACCCTTAATATTACATCATCTATTCCCAAAGGTGAGTTGAATATTAATATTATAGAGTTATATACATGACTACTAGACAGCAACCTGCCCATTCTCCAAACAATGAGCTGTAGGTATCTCAGTCAACCCCAGGCACTGCTCTCAGATTGATTAGAAAGGCTGGTCTCACAGTCTCAGGTAAGTTGCTACAGAGGCCCAGAACTCAGTGAGTCATTTTTCCTAGTGACTCAGTTCTTGTTCTCCTGTTCACTCCTACCAAACCACATCTCATGCAAGACAAAAAATTCTGAGAAATTTGTCTCTGCCACTGTCAAAGTCATTTCTGCTTTGGAAACAACACATAAGCCACGTGGTCTCGTATCTCTTTTGTTTTGACCCCATAAATGATGGGATTCAGCATAGGTGGGACAAGCATGCTGACATTGGCCAGCAGGATATGGACATGTAGTGGGATGTGGCGTCCAAAGCGCTGCGTGAGAACTGAGAAGATCCCAGGCCCATAAAAGAGGATGATGACGCAGACGTGGGAGCCACATGTGTTGAGAGCTTTGTGACGAGCATCTTGGGAAGGGATGCGGAAGACAGCACAAAGAATCAGAATATAGGAAACAAAAATAAAGACAATATCTAGGGTCACCGTTGATATCAAGACAAAAAACCCATACCAGATGTTTACTCGAATGTCATCACAGGCATACTTGGCCAAGCCAATATGCTCACAGAATGTGTGTGGGAGGATATTATTTCTGCAAAACGTCAGCCTTTTTAAAAGAAATATCATGGGCAAAATTGTACAATGGGATCTCAAGAAAACAGCCACACCAATTTTTCCAATCAGGGAGTGGGTGAATATCATGGTATATCTCAATGGGTAACATATTGCTATGTAGCGGTCAAATGCCATGAAAAGCAAGATGCCTGACTCAGAAATGAAGAAGGAATGCTGGAAGTAAAGCTGGGCAATGCAGCCATTAAGAGAAATTTCCCTATTATTGCACCAGAAAATAGCCAGTGCCTTGGGTTCTGTGGTCGTGGCAAAGACAATGTCAACTCCAGCCAGCATACAGAGGAAAAGATACATAGGTTCATGGAGGCTACTCCTTGTCAGGATAACGAAAATGAGCAGACCATTACCCAGGAGAGCAAATACATAGGAGATGAATAGGGGGATGGAAATCCACATGTGTAGGTCTTCTCGGTCTGGAATGCCCAGCAGGTAGAAGACTACATGGTTGACAGCAGTGTGGTTGAAGCCAGCCATTCCTGTAGCAGGCTAATGTAGATTTTATGTTCACCTGAGAGAGACAAAAATACAGATTATATATAAATATTTACTTTGAGTTTTCTGGTTAAACATATCAAATTAAATGCCTACATTTCCTGCCATTTCCTCCTAATACCCCACTAAAATGTCAGTAAAAGAATAAAAACATCATAAACATAGAAAGAAGAAGATAATAGCAGAGAAGAGATGGCAACAACATTTTGAAAGCTTGAAAGCAGATGAACAACCATCAAGTAGTTAAAACTAATACTTTCTACATGAAGACAAGAATCAAGGTGATTTTCACTGTAGAACCCAGATGGCCTTAATAATTGGAGGTATCAGTTACTTCTCTCAATAGGCATAAAGATAGGATTTTTAAAAAGAAAAAAAAAGGATTATTGGTTTCAAATCCACGTAAAGAGCTGTTAGACTCCTGGATCCTCTTTCCCAACCTGTCCATCAAGCACCACTTTCCTAACCCAGCACAATACTAGAGGTTTAGTCTCTGGGAAAGTTAAGTGTAGATAACTCTGCAGGCTCTAGGTATAGCTGGGGTCAAGATTACCATGTTAAAAATAGGAGATTAAATGATAAGGTTATATACTGAACAATATATACATACTGCTATATACATACTGAATAGGGGATTTAATGAAAGGCTACATACAAAATGAATCCCCAGTGAACTTCACCTATGTTTTTTTTGTTTGTTTGTTTGTTTTGTTTTGTTTTGTTTTTTGTCTTTTTTGTCTTTTTCCGTGTCCGGCAACGGATCGCAACCCTCAGTGTTGCCCCCGTACCGGACCGGGGACCGGCAACGGGATCGCAACCCTCGGTGTTGCTCCCGCGCCTCGCTCAGCCAGCGAGA